CAAAAGCTTAAAACAAATTTTAATATCTCGTCGATAAGAATTTATTCAGAGTTCCGTTGAAATGGAAAAAATGATCGATAGAATAAACCTATCCAAAAATGGGACTATGGACCACATATTTATTGACAAGTTAAGAAGGTAATTGGGGGTACTTAATAACTAAACTACAAATATTAGGATACTAGTAGAAAATTTAACTAATTCTTTTAAATTTAAATTTTTTTTTACAATTCACTATATTGTATCTGTTTAGAGGACAATAGAAACAGAATTGGAGAGTATCTTAATTGGTAATTTCCCATGGTAGGTAAATGATGGAATAAATAATTTACAAAAAATAATTTCTAATCTCCACATCTATTAAACGTGTTAATATTGCCTGTATTTTGTAGATTTATTTTTTTATGCTCGAATTAGGTACTTTTTTATTGTCTAATGTTGCTATATATTTAAACCAGCGTGTACCCGCCACTTCGTTTGCGTCTAATTAATCATTTGTTATGGTGATGATAAAGCAAAGCAAGAATTTCCATTAACATACAAACTGGATAAAATTTTCTCACATTTATGTCAGCAAGAGAAAAAACAATCGAGAAACCCCTCCTTATCGAACCTCTACCACACCTCTACATCCCACAGTCAATCTATTTGCCAAAAATCAGCTATAAACGTCAAGCAGTTTAAGCAGAATCGTGATTACTCAATGGTCATATTGCATGAAACACCCTGTATAAATTTTTAAAAAATCTTAAAATATATAAAACAACAAAATAAAATATATGTACGTGTTTAAGATTTTTTCCGAAAAACTCACCGGTTTTTAAATAAAAAATATTCTAATATTTGAGGGGTGGTTTCACCCCCTTAGAATTCGAGTTTCGAAAAATCCCTTCTTATCGAACCTCTACACCCTAAAGTCAATCCGTTTTCCAAAAATCAGCTTTTTACATCAAGCGCTTTAAGCAGGATCGTGATCAATCAATACCAGCTTTTTAGAAACACCCTGTATACATTTTTAAAAAATCTTAAAATATGTAAAAAAAAAACAAAATAAAATATACGTGTTTAAGCGTTTTTTCGGAAACTTGGCCGGTTTTTAAATAAAAAATATTGTAATATTTGAGGAGTGGTTTCACCCCCTTGGAACTGGAATTTCGAAAAATCCCATCTTATCGAACCTCTACACCCTAGAATCAACCTGTATGCCAAAATTGAGCTTCTTACGTTGAGTGGTTTGAGCAGGATCGTGATTAATCAGTGAGTTAGTCACTTAAGGATTTTTATATATTAGTATAGATTAGTAGTCAATTAGTGTAGGTATAAAGTAAGAATCAAAACTTTTATTTAGCTTCGTTATCATGAACTCTTTGTTTGTTATTATTATTTCTTTGCTTTCTAACGCAAAAAAATTGTCCTTCGAGCCGGATTTGAACCAGCGACCTATGGATGTCCACAAATGCAATTCCGCTACAGTCCACCGCTCTACCAACTGAGCTATCGAAGGTGACACTTGTTTATCTTTCAAATGGACAATTTTTAATTAAGTGATTATGCTTAATCATTTATTTTTACTGCTTTGATAAAACAGCGGTTTTTTATTAAAATATTTTAAACATCTTGAGTGGTTTAAATTTTTTTATTACAATTAAATCTATTGAATATGTTTAGAAGACAACAGAAACAAAATTGGAGAATCCAAGAGAAGCAAAAAGACTCAAGTCTTAACGTAGATCCATGGTTTATTTTTGTAGATTTTGTGACTGATTTTTTTCCCAAAAAGACAAAGCATAAATCAGATTTGAACCAGCGACCTATGGATGTCCACAAATGCAATTCCACTACAGTCCACCGCTCTACCAACTGAGCTATCGAAGGTGATACATTTTGTTTGTTTACTCGAACTTTCACTTTTAAATCGCGAATTTTTAATGAAGTGATTACGCTTAATCTTTTATTTTTACTACTTCGATAAAACGTTCGCGATTCTTTTCTAAGTTCTTTACAAAGATACATCTAAACAACACTGCTCCTTTAAAAGCGAAGTCTGGAATATATTTGATCCACTTGGTAAATAGAAACAAATTTCTTACAAATTTTAAGAAATTTTTGTGTATTGTGAGTAATTGGGGTACAATTTTCTGATGCACACCGAACGTATGCAAATTGAACATGTGCATTCTTCTTCTTAATTTCATTCAAGATTGACAAAAGCATGTAAAAACAATTAGGTAATTAAAAGAATCAAGATAGTTATAAATGGTTTTGTTCCCAAATTATGTTTGTTAGTTTGGCCTTATCAATGTAGCACAACACATTAACGAACAATAACTAGCTATAGAATTAAAAACAGTTATAGGTTATTCATTTTCATAATCTATATTGCTCTACATGACCACCTTTTTCGATGCATTTTCGAAATATTTTCTACAGGCTTTTCATAATATGACGTTTATAATGTTAATGTGTGATACATTTTTGAATTCGGAGAAAAGGGGACTATCTAATGCGCTACTAATATACAGGGTGTCCCATTTAAAAATTTTTTTTTAGTTTTAAAAATCTGACATGTGACACCTACTGTCATTTTTGACAACACTCGCAAAAACTTGGCTGAAACTGCTACAACATGTTTTTTGAATGACTGCTTTAACCCGGCAAACAAAAAAGTTATAAGCTTTTAAAAGTGGGTCAAACTAAAATGATAACATGGTTTTGTGCAAGACCAAGACCAAGACAAGTCTTGCTCATCACTAACGGTTACTTATACCGGGTGTTGCATCGTCAGACGGGACATAGGAAATCCCATGTAAATTTTAATGGGGTCAATTATTGGCTTCCCTAATTATTTAGAGAATAATTCTATTTAGGTTTATTGAAGAGCACTAAAACCCACATTCAAAAGAATAACTTTAGATATTTTTGATTAGCTCGTTTACGAGTTATCGTCGATTTCTTTTTAAATATTTCTCCTTTCTTATGGCCCTGTATTTACTTATGAGCACCAGTCAAATGAAGTTGTCATTTCAGAAATTTACCTATTTAATGCTTTATTATTATTGAAAACTCATTCCTACATCGGAAATCTTAAAGATTTATTTATAAATACAAATTAATATGAATTAAAGTAAAATAAAATAATCAATTACAAGGTTAATTATAGTATTATTACAATATTCAATAACTTATTAATTTAGGTACTATTAAATTGTTAGAACTTTAGGATTTAAGATGTTCAAATATTCCTCCATCGACTGCTAGACAATAACCCAGGCGATCATAAAATTCTCTTCTTACATTCGCTAGTTGGTAAACTGAAATTCTATTGCATTCGGCAGAAATAGCATTTTTTAACTCGTCTAGATTTGGGTATATCCTTGTATATCCTGTTTTTTAAATGGCCCCAGAGAAAGAAATCATTTGGCGAAATATCAAGAGACCTTGCTGGCCAATTTCCTGTATGATTTAGGCCAATAACGTTTCCGTTAAAACTATTGTCTAAATATTTCCGAACAGCCAGGGTACTATGTGCCGGGCAGCCATCCATTTGGTACCAAACTTCCTGATTTTCAATAGCGGCATCATGTAAAGCAGGTAAAATATGATTTTCGAGTAGTTCCAAATAATATTCTGCATTTAAATTTCGCGTAAGAAATAATGGCCCGATAATATTGTGTCCGAATATCCCTGCCCAAACATTTACTTTCTGTGATATTGCGTCCTTGTTTTGACAAACCTGTGTTGGTTTTCTTTGTTTCAATATCGAATTTTGGGTTAACATTGGGTTCATTATTTAAGGTAAACGTGCATTCGTCAGTGAAACATATGTTTTTTAAAAATTCCCTATCCGTGTTTGCTCTTTCCATCATATCAAAACAAAACGCCTGCCGCCGTATTTCGTCCCCATCTCGTAGCTCTTGGTGCTTTTCATATTTGAAGGAATAGTATTTATGTCGTTTCAAAATTCGAAACGCTGTAGTGTGATCTGTTACTGCCTATTCCTATTTCATCCTCATGTTTCCGTGTGCTGATCTTTCCATCGTTCTCTTCCACGCACAATAAAACTTCCAATCGGTATCATTTCTTGCATCTTCTCTATGTTCCTGCCTTGCTTTACATCTGCAGTTATTTATTAGGGTACCTTTGGTCTCAAATCTCTGGATATTCCTTGCGATTATAGATTTTCCAAGTATCGGTCTATTCGGATACAGAGCAGCGAACACGTATCGGTAACTATTTCCTTGATAATACCATTAAATCATCAATACTTTTTATTCGGTAGTGTAATTCATGGCTAATATTTTCGATGTAGGTATGAGTTTTTAATAATAATAATACAGTACTAAATAGATAAATTTCTGAAATGACAACTTCATTTGACAGTTATCTTTTACCTTGACTGGTGCTCATAAGTAAATACGGGGCCATAAGAAAGGAGAAATATTTAAAAAGAAATCGGCGATAACTCGTAAACGGGCCAATCAAAAATATCTAAAGTTATTCTTTTGAATGTGGGTTTTAGTGCTCTTCAATAAACCTAAATAGAATTATTCTCTAAAATAATTAGGGAAGCCAATAATTGACCCCATTAAAATTTACATGGGATTTCCTATGTCCTGCTCGACGATGCAATACTCGGTATAGTTTCAGCTGACGTCCTTTATTATTGGACCACTCTTATACAGATTAGTGCCAGAAAGATCTACCTTGAACATACAAAGTTCACAAATACACTATGTAAGAAATTATGTAGCACTACCTGTGTGCTGCTTAAACATATATCAATACTTATAACCCAATAATTAATTTAAAAATCATAAGACCGTTTTCAAAACAAACTGTTATGATTACACACATCTCGCAATCGCATTATCATTATCGTTAATCCGCGTAACACTTTGATCCTTCCCGCTCTCTATCTCTCTCCCACTCGCTGTATTCTTCCTGCCGCGGTTTCGCACAGCAGGCGGACTTTTCCAGCAGCACATTCGCGCCACTAGTTGCGCTACGGCAGTAGTAATAGTAGCAAGTAGTAGGCCACGCGACTAGCGCGCCTTAACAGGTGACAATCGCCGACAGTCGACATCGTCTTTGTTGTTGTTACGACAGCCCGACACAGAAAAAACAGCGGGCACACGACCGACCCGACCATACGATTTTTTCCTGTTAGTTCTCGCCGGATCAGTGTCCAATTTACTGTAGTTTTTGTGGTGAAGTGCGTGTTTTTTTAATTAATACATTCTTAGTGGGGTATGTTTCTGTTGGTTCAGTTCACATGTTCGATGTAATGTCGCCCTATAGCCGATACAGGCCCTTGTCGCCAGGCACGGATTCCGCTGGTGGTGGTGGATTGGCGGCGGTGTTGCAACAGGGTTCGCCACCCTCGCCCACAGCCTGTAGAAATGCGGCAAACGCGCAGAGCGCCTGTCGCTTCCTGAGATGGATTTCGAAGTTGAGTCCTCAGCCGGTCAACAAACAAGGATTAGGTAGGTGGATTTTGAGGGTTTATATGAATTATTCATTTATGTTATAATTTACTGTAATTTACCACAGATTTTTTTTATTTCTTCTTGGTTTCTACCTGAGACAAATAATATAGATAGATAAACGTTACTGTACAGGGTGGGTCAAATTCGACGCTTTTAAATGGAAACACCCTTTTCTATAGGCGATAGGCGAAAACTAATATCGGTGTATGGAGCTCAATTTTCACCAAAAACATGATGGTGGAAACCGTACATCAATATCTGTTACCGTTTCGGAGTTACGGGGTGTTTTTAAAAAATGTGCATTTTTAACAAATCGCTATAACTTTTTTGATATGGAAAATTTTGTATTTCTATGAAAACATTTCCAAAGCACCTTTTTACGTAGAATTTAATGGTTTAAGTATACTTTTTTTAAAATTAATAATTTAAGAGTTATCAACAGAAAAATTGATTTTTTATTTGGGACACCCCCTATGTTTTTAATTAACTGAAAAAAAATTAAAATTACCTTTCCAAAAATATAGCAGACTTGATATTTTGTTATAATCCTATTCGAAATACAGAATTTTTAAAAGTTCGCCACTTTTAACTAGTAGGCTTTGGACCCCTTATTGATGATATGCCCTTAATGGAACTCGAAAACATATTTTTCCAGCAAGACGACGCACCGCCTCTGAACGCTGAAGTTATTGGCAAATTTTTGCAGCCAATTTCAAGAATAATTGAAGAGCTAACCAAGATCCCAGCCGTTGGCCGTCGACGCTGCCTGACTTAGTGTCCATGGATCTAATCCTATGAATATATTTGCGGGAGAATAAAGGTTCCTTATTCTTCCGTATAATCTAGACAAGAATTAGAAATACTTAGCAGTTATGAGAGGGTATCTTTCACCCCCACTGAGTTAATGAATTCCGCGAGAAATGTTTAAAAACTGCCCCGTCTGTCCATAACAGAAGACTGTCGATAAACCGAACACCTGTAGCAAAATCTCATGTTTTGGTTTGCTATTTATTTTTATTGTTATTAGATATAGTTTAAATGTGTTGATGTTGGTTAAATATAGTTTAAATTGTTATAAAATTCTGCATCTCTCATAGCAAATATTATTTTCGTTTTAATTGCTGCTCACAGTTAGAATTTTTTGCATTACAGCCGGCGTCGTTCAAAGCCTACTTATTCAAAGTGGTCGATTTTTTAAAAACTCTATATCTCGAAGAGAAATCGAGCAAAATCTGAATTATGCTATATTTTTTGAAAGGTAATTTTAAATTCTTGTCTACTAAAATAAAATATACAGGGTGTCCCATATAAAAAATCAAATTTTCTGTTGATAGTTCTTAAATTATTAATTTTAAAAAAATTATACTTAAACCATTAAATTCTACGTAAAAGGTGCTTTGGAAATGGTTTCATAAAAATACAAAATTTTCCATAGCAAAAAAGTTACAGCGATTTGTTAGAAATGCATATTTTTGAAAAACACCCCGTAACTCCGAAACGGTAACAGATATCAATATGCGGTTTTCACCATCATGTTTTTGACAAAAATTGAGCTCCAGACACCGATATTAGTTTTTGTCTATCTCCTATAGAAAAGGCTGTTTTCATTTAAAAGCGTTGAATTTGACCCACCCTGTACAGGGTGTCCCATTTTAGTTGAAATCATAGGGTATCTCCGTTAATAGTAATGATAGGAGGATGCGGTTTGCACAAACCTGTCCCAGTTTTTTGTCAAACGGAAGATGCTGTAAACAAAATTTTCATAGCTCTCTTTGTTTCTTGGCTACAGGGTATTTTTGAAAATTTTGCAATTTGGGACGCCCCCTGCATCTCTGTTATTGTTAAAGTTATCGAGAAGGTAAAAACTGTTTATTGTAGAACTTTTTACATAGAATACAGTGGCGTAGTCTGTTATTCTACGAAAAGAATATTTTAAAGATATGAATTAAAGTTATGTTTTCTTAAATGGAACACCCTGTATATTTATAAATTATATGATCTGGCTTACCATAAGCTTCTCAAAAATATATATCACACTATATTTATTTTCAATATTTACTGCAATATTTAAAAAAATATATTAAAAGATCATATTTATTAGTAGGCTATGATTGATAATAAAAGAAACTAAAGAATTATTAAAAGTATACTGCTATCTGTCTCTTGTATTATTTTGAGAGCCACTAATAAATTCTTTATATATTAGGGAAACTTAAATCTCTACCGCTATTTGTAAATCTTGGAAGCTATCGTATCGAAACTTTTAAATATTCCTTTAGCTAATTTACGTGAAATATACTTCAGCAAGATGGAACTCCTACTCACAACCTAACTTACAACGAAAATATTAGAAATTTGTTAAATTATTATTTATCAAATCAATGAATAATTGGAACCAATGCACCCATATGATGGCCTCCCTGAGTCCTGGATTTGACCTTTCTCGATTTCTGATTTTAGGGATTTTTGAAATATGAAATATATCGTGGCAACTAACACAATGTCGAACACCTGGAAAATTCTTTAATAATGCAAGCTTTTAGATATTTGCAAACCCATCCCGTTAGAATAAATTCCGTTAAAAAAAAAGAAAAATATATTCAAAGATTAAGTGGTAACAGTTCAAAAGTAAAATATATCAATTCCAAACAAAATGTTAATAAGTGTATAACTATTTTAGTAAATACCATTTTGATTTTTTGTTATTTATCACGGCCTTCTAATAAGAAAATGATATATTTTAAATATTGCCGTAAATAGTGAAAATAAGTATAAAGTGATATATATTTTTGAGAAGCTCATAGCATGGCGGATCATATGATTTATAAACATACAGGATGTTCTATTTGAAAAAAACATAAGTTTAGTTCATATTTTCAAAAATATATACGTAAAAAGTTCTACAAGAATCAGTTTTTACCTTCTCTATATCATCCATAATAACGGAGATACGGAGCCTGTCCCAAATTGCAAAATTTTCGAAAAGACCCTGTAGCTCAGAAACGAAGAGGGCTATAAAAATTTTGTTGACAGCATCTTCCGTTTGACAAAAAAGTGGCACAGGTTTGTGCAAACCGCATCCTCCTATGTTTACTAATAACGGAGATACCGTATGATTTCAACCAAAATGGGACACCCTGTACAGGGTGGGTCAAACTGGACGCTTTTAAAGGGAAACGCTCGTTTCTATAGGAGATATAGACGAAAACTAATATCGATGTCTGCAGCTCAATTTTTTTCTAAAACATGATAGTGAAAACCGCACATCGATATCTATTACCGTTTCGGAGTTACGGGTTGTTTTTCAAAAATGTGCATTTTTAACAAATTGCTGTAACTTTTTTGCAATGGAGAATTTTGTATTTGTATGAAAACATTTCCAAAGCAGCTTTTTACGTAGTATTTAATGGTTTAAGTATATTTTTTTAAATTAATAGATTAATAACTGAAAATTACCTTTTCTCACTTAGTAGCTTTCCTCGCATATTTAGATAATCTCTTTGTTAGTTGGGCCCATTGTTGTTTATTGTTGACTATGTGGGCCCAAGTTATCCCTGCTAATTTACTAATATCATGGTCCCATCTCAAGTTCGGCCTTCTAGGTCTCTTAATTCCTCGTGGGTACCAGGGGTTTACCATACTGTAATTTTTGTTGTCTATCTGTTGTCCGTCCTTCTTGCCAGGTGTCCTGTCTATTGCCACTTAAGGGACTTGATTCTGTGGATGAAATCTATTACCGGGGTCTTTTGTCGTATCCACTCTATTCTTTTACGGTTGTACTTGATTATTCCCAGTATATTTCGTTCCATTGAGCGTTGTGCGACCTGCAGTTTCTTTATAGTATCCGTTTTAAGTGTCCAGGTTTTTCATGTATAGGCCATGGCTGGTAGTACGCATTGGTCTAATGTTTTCTTCTTTAGATAAAGTGGCATTCTCGATTTGAATATGATTGAGTTTCTTCCATAAGTCCTTCATGCTAACTAAAGCTAATGTGCTATCTGTATCTGTATCTATTGATAAATTATAGTAATAAAAAAAATAAAAATCATATACCTACGTTAGTTTCGTTTATTTTAACTACGTTTTTTTTAATCGGCTTTTAAAATTCAATTCAACAATTGTTTACATTTTTATGTTTTATCTTACGTTTATGTTTTTTGGTCAAAAAGCTATACTTGGATGTTGTAATACCATCTTTATCAAAGTAAGACAAAAATTCTGTGCGATGTAACGTATAAAAAAATGCATGATTTGTGGAATTTGTAGAATGTAGAATGTTTAGGAGGGGAGTTAATCACCGCGACCTTACAGATCTATTGTGTGTTCCCCTTTCTTGAGTTATAAGGAGTTATCATCATACAGTCTCAAGGCTTTAACAGAAGCCAGTATCTGAGACTGTTCCACAGAGGCCAGCTCTCCATCCTTGACATCAGTCGTACCAAAATTCATGGCACGAATGGTCGTCGTCTCGGCGCAGTCAGTGATAACGTGTTCTGGTGTTTCCCCATTTTCCCCAACAGAATCTGCATTTGCCGCTGTTTCTCAGCTTCAGTTTACTGAGGTGTTCGTTGAGGAGACAGTGTCCTGTTAGAAACCTCGTGACAATCCGAAGATTGTTTTTACTTAAATCAAGGAAAACCTTTGATTTTTCTCGGTCGTAAGTTCTGAGGAACTTTTTCGAGTGTGGCTGTGTTGTGGTTTCGATATGTGGAAGTTACAACAAGCATGAAACCATAACCTGTCGCAAGTTAGTACCATATGATCGAAAAACACGGTGTCGTGTAAGTTTGGATATGACGATCAATTACATTCAAAAATGTAATTTTACGCTGGGTCACCCTATATGTCAGTTTTGTAGACTCATCTTTTATTTAATATAAACTAATTTATCTATTTACCAATTAAAAATTGCATTTATGCAATTTTTAATAGATTTTAAAAGTTGTTAATTATACCTATTTTGTAATTGTTTTTTAACATTATTAACAAAATTTGTA